TAAGTACTGCATAATGCGTGTAACTAGGTAATTAAGTACCTGGATTGATAATCTAATAAAAGCGTATCGATTCCAAAGGAATCGATAATAAGTCTTTAGCTTAGTGAAAAACGTTCTAGAGGAAAAACTGTGTGGTCAACATTGTAGTAATATTGGTGGAAGACCTGGTATAATACGCCAGTGCCAAGTGAGTGCAAAACCTATGTGGAAACTGACCAAAAGACCCCATAAGTGCACTATTGCACGACAGAAGGACTTGGGCAAGTAACAGCCTTACTCGCCGAATCTCGTTAGATTTTGTACTATGTGAATGACAAGGAAGAAACTGGGCAGACAAAGGTTCTACTCGCTGAATTCTGTTGAAATTCGTGTGATCTCAAGTAACAAGTGACGTTAGCATAAGAGAACATTGTTAGTACAAAGTAAAGGAACAAAACAAAGACATTAATCAAGTAACCAAACAAGTACTTACCTGCTTGGTCGTACGTTATGAAAAATGAGAGTATCTTGTGTGTGTGCCAAGAACTTTTATAAGGGTCCTAGGAATAATAACAATAGCATAAGCCAGGGTCGGCTCCTGTAAAAAAAAAAAAAAAAAAAATAGAAAGTGAAACCCGTTTGATGTTGTTAGTTGAAAGTATGATAGGATTGGTTGTTGAAGTGGTGAAGAATTTGCAGAAATGAAAGATAAAAAAGAAATACTACAAACCTCGGTTGTGTTATGTTTGTCGACGTCAAGGACATTTGGCCCGTTCTTGCCCAGATCAAACGAGACGTGACTGTCAAGAGCAAGTTATCGACGTATGGTTTTTGAGGATTATTGATCCCGAAGTCAATAGTAAAGAAGATGGAAGTCGAACTGAAAAAGGTAAAAGGGGAATGATTATTAATGGGACACTTGAAAATAAAGTAATGCAAATGAGAAATAGAATCATACCTGTGAAATCCTTTGGAAAAAGGGTCGAATTTAACAAGCCAAAAGATATTGAAATTGATACCGAAAAGAATAAACATAAGCCATTTATTTATTATCAAAGATTAGAAGAGATAGAAAGCGCTGAAAGAACTGAAACTGGAAAGAATGAAGGTGCAGAGAGAAATGAAAGCAAAACCGGTATTGAAAAGTCTGCGGGTATGAGTCTTGCAGGTGGAACCTTTGATCTTGGAAACTGTTGTCAGACTAGAATAGGTATTGAAAAGGGTGACAAGAAGGCTTTTGAATGTGGAGATCAAAGTAAAATAGAAAAGGAAAAACCTGCTGATAAAAGTAATGATAGTGGAAGACATGCTATTAGACATTGTTATGAAAAAAGGATTGATGAAAAAGAAAGAAAGGACATGAGAGATAGGTCAGCAAGTAGTGATAAAATGTATCAAAGAATTGATGAGAAAATTAGAGACCCACCTGGACTAAGTGACGATATAATCCTGAAGGTTAAATCTGCTGGTGAAATAAACAGTGATGAAGAGGAAAATGATGGAATTATGAAGAGAAAGATAAGAAATGGGATGTTATCGATGATCAACTGTAGTATGCAAAATCGAAGCATGAAAATGGGACGTTTGAAAACTTACATGAATCGAAAGACAGGACCGATCTTGATGAGTAATAGTGGAAAAATCAACTTAATGAAGCGATTGTATCTTGATCACATGATCAGTTGCGATAGGTTAGTTCATGAGTTGAAACAAGCATAGTCTATTTGTAAGTACTGCATAATGTACGTAACCGGGTAATTAAGTACCCAGATTAATAATCTAATAAAAGCATATCGATTCCAAAGGAATCGATAATAAGTCTTTAGCTTAGTAAAAAATGTTCTAGAGAGAAACTGTGTGGTCAACATCGTAGTAATATTGGTGGAAGACTTGGTACGATACGCCAGTGCCAAATGAGTGCAAACCTAAGTGGAAATTGACCAAAAGACCCCATAAGTGCACTATTGCACAACAGTTAATACGGCAAAATAGTTTTGTAGCCAGATTTGTAGGAATAAAGATAGTATATTTGTTGGCAATTGTATTGGAATTAAGATGCCATCCAGAACATAATGTAGTAGTAGAGTGAGGAGTAGGATATAAGTTTGAGAACTGGGACTGATATAAGCAGTGCCAGTGAGTAATAAGAGTAAGGCCAGTAGATATATTATGCCTTCTGGCCTTGCCAATAATTATTTGGTCATTAAAAACAGTAAGTAACCAGGGTTTGGTGTTGGTGGTA